CAGAAGTCTCAGCTGATGTACTTGCCTGCTGAAGGCTGGGCAGCCAAATGGCTGGCACCCCTCTACCTCTTCTCATTTAGCACTCGCTGCGTCTTGTGCCAGGTTGGGATTCATCTACGTGTCTAATACACATAAAGAAAAGTAAAATTCTATTGGGGAAGGCAAGGCAAAAAAACGTTTTGTTGTTCTGGTGCTGTCGTGATGTCCTTCCCTATGCTCAGTAGCCTGACGATGTGGTTAGAAAAGAAGAAGCTGATCCTCTGGACGGGAACCTGCCACGGCTGTAGGAGATCTGCTTTTAATTCTGTGCTTTGATTCAGGTTTCTTCTCTGTCCCTAGGCAAGTCACTTAAGCACTCAGCTTGTCTTTTGTTGGATGGAAATGGACAAGCTGGATGCTTCCATGCATCACAAGAAACTGAATTTAAAATCAAAGATGTTGAAATAAGCCTTGTCTAAAGACAATGTGTTACAGATAAAAAACCCTAATTAATAATAATAATAATAAAAAAATCCACCACAATAAGTGAATTTGAATCATATTTTGATTTTTGCATTTACTTGCTGTGAAATGAATTGATTAATGCTGGCAATAGATACTGAGATTTTTTCAGATAGGTTTCTCCTGAAGAGATAATTTTAATTATTACTATTAATAGCATAAATTTTAAAAAGGATTATTAATGGGAAGCACCTGAAACTAAATAATTCCTGCCAGATCTGTATCTTGTGTTCCTTTTCTAGCCTTGATGAAATTTGTGAGGCAGTCACGTAAGTGGCACTTTGTGCTGGAGTGCGATGAACTAGAGGTAACCTCAAATTCTTTTGGAGATACTGTCACGCAATAACTTCCGTATTGCCTAGCTTTCTGCCAAGAAAAAGCTCGATAATTAAGGCACTCTTTTCTGAATGCTGGCATAGGCCTTTCCCTGAATTATGTCTCCTTGACTCTATAAAACCAAAAAATATCTGAGGAATATAATAGGTCCGGGGAGATTTTATAGAGTGAA